CGAACGATGCGAGCGGACTTTTCTAGCGTTACCGCGTAAATGCGCGTCGATCTCGCCGATGGATTAATCGATGAGTCGAAATTAACCCGCGGGTATTCACGTCACGAAACAGGCGTTGCTGCAAGTCAAAATAGCGCGTACGTAATACACGTATAAATTTGTACTTTTATCGGCTTTTAACATTTCAGAGAAGTAAAAACGGAGAGGTGAATTTATTTATAGAGACACAATTCAGCATAATCGTCAGCCGTAATAAGAAAATTGCGTTCTGATCTGAGAATATAACGCTGCGTCGTCGTCGTCGTCGTTGATTTAACAATCGGCAACAACGAGAATTGCGCATTTAGAAGTCGGATCCGCGTCTCTTTTCTCGGACCGAAGCTGTATCGATGCTTTTAAGATATTTCCATTTGTAAGTCGCCGGCATTAAACAACGAGTATCCCTCTTCGGGCAGTGCTAATGGAAGTCGTCTTAAAAAGTTGCCGCATGGCCCTGGGGATGCCACCTGCGAAATTTCGAAATCTTCCAGCGCGTTTCGGTAGGCGTATTCCCACTGGAACGCCCAAAAGGAAACGAGAGAGTACGAAAGCGAGAGAGAGAGAGAGAAAGAGAGAGAGAGAGAGGAGCCGAGTGGCATGAGAGGTTCGCCCTTTCCATATTTTTCACCCTCCATTTTTACGCCATCTTTCGTCAGCAACGGCCCACCCTCTCTGTATTTCCCCCGACCCTTTTCCACGCTCTTTCCCTTTCCTCTCTCTCTCTCGCAACACACACCCTCTCTTTCTGTCTCGTTAAACTCCCCCTCTCGCTCAGTAACGTCCACTCCGTCCTTCTCCATTCGTTACATGGCTCTTCCATTGTTTTGATCAATAAAGCGCAATTGAAATGACTTTGTGGGACGGATACTCTTTTTTCATAACTGAATACAATCAAAAGGTACATTGTACGTATCAAACGGTAGCGAATCGATCAAACGCGGATGATTTTTAGTTTTTTTTTATTTTATTTTATTTTGCGTCTGAGTGCCGGGCTTCAAGAGGCGATTTTCATTATTCAGACCATGGACGATGGCTCTCTGACTACTTAAATTTCAGTGGCTGAGAGATAGGAGAGGATGGGAAGGAACTTTTTCTCCTCCTGGAAAGAAAGAAAAAGTCCAATTTCCGGACTCGCGATTGGACGATTCAATCTGTCGTAAGGATAATGGAATCTCGTGTAAAAGAAGTCTCTTTCTCTCTCCGCCTCCTCTTTTTGACAAATTGAGAGCTAATTTTTTTTAACGTTTTGTCACACAACAATCCATTTTCAATAATTATATTTTCCATTGATTTTATTTGCCTATTACATTTTGTAACAAAACAAACAGCCTGCCATTGCATTTTATCGAACAATTCATGAAGTATTAAATTTTTGCGGCTTTATGAACATTTTATATACCGTCGAGCCGGTTCTTCCATTTTATCCATTTTGATTCATTTAATTGGCTAAATATTTTTTTAATCACGTTATCCGTATATGAATAGACGAAACATCGGATAAACTTTAACGCCGAGCGCGACTCGAATTAGCGGTCCTTTTCATAATAATAAATCTATTTTTATCACATGTATATATATATATTTCCTGATAAAATAGTATTAATCCGTCGTTTTACCGCCGAAAATAGTTACGTCCATCATCGAGGATGCTATGAATTATTATTATCTTTTTCGCGCCATATTTCATAGAGCGACGAAAATCATTTTACGCGGTATACTTGAAACTTCGTCTGTACCGTACATCAATATACATTGCGACACGAATTATTCACAAAACTTTTATATTCAATTGAGAGAAATTAAAACCACGTCTTAAAATAATCCCTTCATTTTCCATATTATCAGGATACACGCGATTTACACATTAAAGATAGATATAATCGCTTCTATAAGTGTATTCAAAATGAGAAACGCCAAAAAAATTTTGTTATTAAGACTGCGGTGGTTACGGAGGGAAGACAAGAAGCGGGGAACGAGCTTAAGAGAATCATTCGATCCTTTTTTTTTCCTGTCCCCGCTCATCATCCCGGAACAGGCAGGCTCCGAGTATTCTTCTCGCGGTGTGCAGGGAGTAATTATTTTTCCGGCCCTCATTCTCATGGCAGGCTGGTCCCATTCTCCACCCTCCTCGCACCCTCGTGCCGAGGAGCCTCCTCGCGCTCTCGAGAAGAAAGAAAATGTAAGGGTGACTCCGGGATAGTGGGAGCCGACCCTTACGTCGGGGACGAAGCGTCGTACCGCGAGTAATTCGAACGGGAGAAAAGAAATTAGCGAAATTAAACGTCAGGCCGTGCCTCGGCGGCTCGGAAAGGATCGAAGGGCGGCACGACAAGCCCTCTTCTCCTCTCCTCCCCTCCTCTTCCCTTCCCTCCCACGTCCTTCTTTCACGTCCACTTTCCATCTGGGCACAGACTATTTGCGATTAATTATTTGAGCGGCGGCGAGAAAGCTACGGATAGGTGAGAGAGCAAGAACGAAATGGATGCAGTGAAAGAGAATCCGAGAAGTATTCGAAACCGCTCCAATAGCATGAAATCACGGGCATCAGGATACATCGCACTTGAGTAAAGGGCTACAGCTAAACGCGCGCGAGCGCGCGCGCGCGAGACTGGATTCGTGTACGATTGACATTACGTGCGTGCGTGTGTGTTACATTCGTTCGGCCATCATTTCGATTGAAATGCGCGAGAGAGAAGGAGAGAGGCCGATATTTCGACCCTTGCCAACGAAAGAGAGATATTTCGACGTGATCAACGGGTACATCAGACCCGTTGTTTAAATGGGGAAATTAAAACTTATCATTATTGGGAATTTCGCGAGCGCGTTAACGTCACGCCGAGCGAACGTTCTACAGTTTCACTCGTAATTATGAGAGGGAACATTTTGTCCCGAGCCACTCCTCGCGATACACGAGAGTGCCCGTTCCCCCCCTTTTTTTATTTAAGAGCGGATTAATAAAATTTAATGAAATTAATAAAACAAAATTGGATAAATTTTAAAAACTGCACGCGCGTCCGAGGAGGAACGTTGAGAATCGAACTTAATCTTCGCGCGCGCGGATCGTTTCGTACTGCACAAACGCACACACGCGGCAAAGTCATCGTATGTACATCGGCAGCCCTGTAACAATCGATCCGATATTCGTTCGCGAGCAATTCCATGCGACGACAAAGCGCCGAAAAGCGATTCGTGAGTATTTTTAGCCGGGCGCACACGTCGCGCATATAACTCATATATTTGTTAAAACCTCCCCGGACAAAAGCAGCAGCACCTCGTAAATGGAATTAATCTGTCGATGCGTACCGTGCGTCCATTTAATATCCATCACGCGTTCATCACTGCAGAAGCGATCCAGCCGGTGCTTGCGCCCGCAACGTTGCGAGGTTGCCCGCCTCCTCTCTCTTTTTCCCCGTTTGCCGCGGTTCTCGTCCTTCTTTCCCGCGGCGTCCGTCTCTCGCCATCGAGTATTCGCGCGTGGGGGTTGAACTCGCCGAAACTTTCTAATTTCGTGGAATCCGCGACGATGACCGGCCGATGATGACAAATTTTGTGCGTAGCATCTTAATGCGCCGCGCGCCCGTCGAAAACTGACCCCGCAGCTGGTCGCCTTAAAAAAGGGGGGCAAAAGGGGGCCCTTCGTACGGGAGAGGGATGGCCCATCTCGTACGGGGTCCTCCGCGAACGCGCGCGACGGATGATGGTGGGGGGGTCGGAGAAGGGGCGGGCATCAGCGGTGTCCAGGATTCTTTCATTTTTTCGCGGGCCTCTTCCTCTCTTCCGTTCCCGTGCGAGCGTTATATTTCGTCTTCCTTCCCGTCAGACGTATCTCGAGATGGGTTGAACCTGTTTAAGGGCTGTGTTTAAAGATCGAATCAAAGGGCGATGGAAGGGTCGGTGAATGTATCTCCTGGAAACGCGCTATTGTAATTGTAACATCATCGTTCTCATGCCACTGACTCGCGTCGAGACTATTGTGGGACGAAACTCGTTTATTTATACTTTTCAGCGGGAAAGGAAGCGCAAGAGTTTTTCTCCTGGATTCTGTGTGGGAAAAACGGGCAGTGCGTACAGGCGCATAATGTTAGCCATTACAAGGGAGATTTTTTTCCGATACAACGATTTTAATATTCTGCATACAATGTGAAGTAGTTGTAATTACTCTTATACGTAGAAGAAATATCTATATTATAATATGTGAAAGAGAGCGGGATCGACGAACGCGGAGCAATTTATTGAGTCAAACCAATAATTCGTCATTCGCTGAAACTGATACTGGAACTTACTCGCTATGCCGCAATTTTTCCCTATATGAAAAGCTCGGATTGACAAAGAAGAAGCGCACGCGCGCAAAATGACATTTCCGGGACGCGGGATATTTTTTTTTTTTTTACAAACTCGTCTCTCTTTTATTCTCTGCACACAACGCACAATACATATGCCGTTAGATTATTTATTGACACACACGTTCACTTCACCGTTCTCCGATACACTTTATTTGTCCTTTATTATTTATCGCCGTCGAAATTCTGCGCATTGTTTTCCAAAACACTGCAACTAATCAACACCACCACCATCACCCCCCCCCCGCCCTCTTCCTCCTCCTCTTCCTCCGCATCCCAAAACCTCACACCAACCCTCCTGCTATTTCCCCGTACGCCACCACCTTTATCCCCCGTCCCCGTTCTCCCGCTGGCACCTATTCGATCGATCGTTCCGCACGACCCTGCCACGGATTGTCTACGGTCGATCCTCGATACCTCGTCGGTTTTCGAGGTAGCTACGTCGACACTCTCGGCATGTTCGTCGAGGAAGCCGGGGCGGCAGAACAGCAGCAGTATCAGCGGCAGCAACAGCAATGACAGCGCCCGATAGCGACAGCAGTAGAATTCAAAGCGAATTTTCGGAGAGAAATGAAAAAAAAAGACGGGGCAGGCTGTGGGTGACATGAGATTTTCGTGGCGGGCGAAAATCTCCCCGACTTTCCCGTCTTTCGGTTTTGTTAGTAGTTTTTGCGTCTAAAGCGTACCCGGGCAGAGTTTCTGCAAGCAAGGAATATTAATGTTTGTTATAAGGTCGAGCATGAGAGAATTCAACGAAGCGAGACGCCGGCGATTCGAAGTTGCTTTTTGCGAATCGTAGATTCGATCTGCGATAGAACAATAACGCGCATATCGACCGGAATACTATTCGAGCATGAAGCGTAGAATATATCTCGTTCTTTGTCGCATAACTCTCCAAACTAATACACATCGCATAAATTTAAATAGCTTTAGTAATTGTAATTAATTGTAATAATTATTTCATTGTTGATTCGATAATTGAGTTGCCCAATTCTTATACATCTCGTTAATTAAATTTGCATCTCTATCAGTTAAATTTGGGATTAAACTTTTATCACTACTTTTTTTTATTTAATTCATTCAAATTGAAGATATTGTGCGAGAAGATCGCTTCTGATGTTTCCGCATCACTTCTCGCGAGCGTCCCCTTCGGCATCGATATAGCGAAAGCAGATGTACAACAAGCGCCGTACAGTCATTCGATTTAGGCGTGCGTGTCGGCCTCCTACCTTCGCAAGAAACAGTAGTCGAAATTCCGCAAGTCCCCACCGTTTAAGACTCCTTCGTAATCGTCGTAATCGTCATAATCGTCATTCTTGTCGTCGTTGCCTTCGTTGTTGTTGTCGTCGTCGTCGTCGTCGTTCCCTCCGCCGTTCCCGTCATCGGCATCCTCTTTCAATCGGCGCAGTCCGTTCCTCCAGTTCATCCGACGCCTCCGTGTCCTACGCCTCCTCTTTTCGCGCGTCACCCACTTTTCCTCTCGATTTCCGCGTCTCACCGTGCACCGATCACGCGCATCGCGATCACTCTCACGATCGATCGAGTCCCGTCTCGCGCGCGTGCGTTCCTCGCCGGCGGATTCGCGCGTGAATCGCGATCGACGCGCGCCGCGGATCGATTCTCCGCCGTTCGATTTCGCGTGTTCTCCTTTACCGTATCGTATCGTCGCGAGAACGCCGATCCGCCGATCCGTCGCGGCTTGCCGCGCGACCCCGCGCCGAAGGCGACACTACCACGAGATCGCACACGAGATTGCACACGAGATCCCGAGATTTCTCCGCGCCGCGGACCGGCCACCGCGTGCCTCTCGATCAAGAGCAAATCACGCTTTTCGCAAGAGCTCGTGCGAAAACGCGCGGCAGGGCTGTCAGTGGTATCGAGCGGTAATAGCGGATCGTACGAGTTTTCCGAGGCTCCCGAGCGATCTTTTTCCGCCTCTTCGTGCTGCTCACCCTCGCACCAGGCCAATTGATCTCTTCGCATAAGATCTGTCCCTTTGTCGGGAAGAAGCGTTTCTCCCTCTATCGATCCACAAAGAGATCCAATTACATCATTCGCCGCTTTTGCGCCTGGACGCGGCGAGATCGTCGATTCTTTATTCGAGCATCGTTCCCGTCTTGGAAGAATTGGATAAGCGCGACGGCGCAATTGCGGCGCGTCGGCGATTCGCAACGCCAACCGGATGCGGATTATCGGAGACTCGGCGCATGCGAGTCCGTCTCGTGCGGTCTCGTGTTCTCGTTCGTGCTCAGCTCACACCCGTTACACAGCGGCGTACTTAAAGCATATATTCCTGTGAAATTCGATGTCTCTCACGAGGCAGCCAACAGATTTTTTTTTCTGAGGAAGAAATCGCCCTGCGACAACGCTGATCACCGAAACCTTTTCGAAAATTCGATTTTCTCACAGAAATCCGCGAATCCTATCCCCACTAGGATCCTCGCGAGAAGAGGAGGGACTTACCGGGTGTTCCGAACAACTCCGGCGACTCGCACGTGCGTATACGTGCGTACGAGCGTGCACGCGCGACGACCGGTATGATAATTCGCGTAGACGCACTCACACACTGCCACTGCCAAGAGACGGACTCCGATAGAGGAATATCCGAGCGGATGCGGGCCGGTTGGCCGATGGTCCCTCCTTTTCGGTGGCGCGGACCCTTTCTTGCGGTCCTCGGCCGTGCGAGCTTTTCGACCACGGATATCACCCGCGACGCGTTCGAGAGAGAGAAGCGGGCTCCTCCTGTTGCGCGGGAGCGCGTCACTGAAATCGTCTATATATCTTTCGATCTTTATCACCGCGCGATCTCTCCTGCTCCACCTCCTCCACCACCCTCTCTCCCTTTGTCTCTCCTCGCTCTCTTTTTTTTCTCTCCTCTTCTCTCCCTCCTTTATCTCCCCGGGCTCCCTCTCCGGGCCGTCTCTCCCTTTCGGCGATCGGTATCGCGCGCGCGCGCGCGCGCGGACTCGACGGTATCGGTTTGACGCACAGCTCGCGAGCTCTCTCGGGGACGCGCGCGGACCGTACTCGCGGTGCCTCGACTTCGATATTTCTGCGATTTATTGCGGCGCGACTTAGAAATGCATCTAATGCGGTGCACGCCGCATAGAATGCATGCATGCACCTTGGCGGGGAGGGCGAGAGCCGCGGAGAGCCGAGAAGCAGCCGGAGCCGGAGTCGGCGGAGCCGAGCCGAGTCGAGTCGAGTCGAGTCGCGGCCCGCGGCGGTATCAGCGCATGCGCCGCCGACAGACGCGAGCGTGTGTACTCTACTCGCGCGATCTCTAGGCAAGCTAACGCGAGCTAGCGAGAACGCGGGCGAGAGCAGATCGGCGGACCAGGGGTACCTACGGCTACGTCATTCACTGGCGTGGAGACCGGGGCCATCAACCGTGCCTTCGAATCGGAGTAACCGGAGTAATGGTGAACTTAACGTCGCCTTTTTACACCGAGAAGCAAAGAAATTGTATGAAAATGATGAACATTTGAACTGTTATCGCCTTATGGGGACTACCACAAGCCTAGATGGAGGCCTTTTATCTCGTTTTTATAAACAAATGTTTGTTATTTTCAGAGAGATGATTACATTAGGATGTAATTAAAATTTTCCAGTCATTTCTGTTCATTTTCTCGTTGAAATGATCATTGTCTCCCCCTCCCGCCTTCCGTACGGTCGCCCGCGGTAGAATCAACGGCGTGCAAAAACGGCGTGAAACGGGTCAGCGGATCTCACATCATGTAAGCAGGAAGGTTCCCCGCCTCGAGGAGGTACAGCGCGTACGCGCAATTTAGCGCGATTAGCGATTACAGACGAAATACATACATATATGATACTCCCCGTGGAGGCCACTCACACAGGCCACCCACGTCAGTAATTCCGCGCGGCCTGCCAGCGCGCGTCCGCGATCTGGAAAAGCGCTAAAATATCCCGTATGTAATTCGCGAAAGAATCACCGCCGTTGAATTCCCTCGCCCGGCGCTCACCGTACGCTCCCGCCCGCGCCTCCGATGCGGCGCCGCATACGTACTCGCGAGTACAATACGTGTGTGTGTCACACGTGTGTACCGCGTGTCTGTATATGCGCGCGTTACCGTGTGTTTCCATGTCGGAGCATATAGCCTATCCCGTAGCATTATAGCGACGGTATGGAGAGGGCTGCTCTCCGGCGTTTCTCTTTTGCGCCGTCTTTCCTCGGTCCTCGCGGTGGGTGGAAGAGGAACAGCAGGAGGAGAACGAGGAGAGGAGAGCAGTCGGGTGTACGGCCCCCCGCTAGGTACGACACTGTGCGATTTTTTGACGACCGATGAAAGTTACTCGCGAGATATTCTATTTTAAACTTTCGGCCAACAGCGGCCGCCGCTGCCGTCGCCGTCGCCGTCATCGTTGCCGTTGCCCGCCTCCGCGCACCCGGCTCTTTGCCTCACCATTTCTTCTCTCTTCCTCTTTCTTCTTTTATCTCTGTCCTCTTCTCGTCCTTCTGCCGCGCTCTCCCGCGCGCGCGCGCGCGAGAGAGAGAGAGAGAGACTTCCTACATCGCGATAATTCCTGAAAAGGAGGGAGCCATTTTGCGCGGTGCGGAGCGCTATGGACCTCCGCTTCGATTCTGCGTTACGTCGACGCCGGGGAGAAAGAGAGAAAGAGACCCTTCGTCATCAACAGCGGAGGAAAGCGCAGCGGCAACGGCAACGGCCGATCGACGATGGTGCAGCGGCCAAAACCGTTGTTTTTTCCGTCCGGCTGAATGATTTATCAGATCGGGATCGATCGGGGGGGTCGAAACCGCGCGACGCGGTTGCTAACCGACAAAACGGCGGGCTTCATTATTAACCTCCCCCCTTGTCCCTTCTTCTCCTCTATGCCCCCTCACGCCCCGTCGCATTGTAATCGTTTGCGAACGTTTGATCGCGTTATAAAAAATCCAATACTTTTGTTCGCCGCAAAATACAATCCGCGAGGTCCGATAACATTTTCGATAACCGCTTTTATAATTGCGCTCTGTTGTTTGACGCCGGTATTGTTCCGCCTGCTGCAACATTGCCCTATATGTTAATCAATAGAAAAAGCGGCGCGCGAAAATATTTTAGGTGCATTTCGGAGAATGACCAGTACAACTCCGGTTACATGGTGCGAGGTGCCACACGCTCCCTTCTCTTCCTCCTCTTCCACCACCTCCTCTTCCTCCCCCGTCCTCCTCTTCCGCGATCGATCGTAGCACATTGCACTCGCACGTTGGTGATCTCCGAGAGTGCAGGGGAAACGAAACTGTCTCACCGCATCGTGCGAAATTCGCTGTAATCCGCTCGACACTCCAAACTAAAAGCAGTCTTATGATGAGTCGCGCGTCACTTTATTGCGTATTTGAGATTGATGTTCAAGAGCTGGAAAAGCAACGGAAAGTAGAATAGATTTTTTTTTATTAATTTTTTGTCGCGCTTAGTAATTTAGAAAAAAAAGACATAAAAATCTGGAAAACGCATCGCTGTAGCAAATAGACACATTGTTATGCACTCGTGCACCGAGAGTAAATCGATTTTCTTACCCAATCAGAGTACCGGTTTTTTTTTTCAAATTTAGTTTCATCGGCATGCACGCCGTTTGTAACGCAGAAAATAATTACGGCGATAAATTAATTAAAGAGAACGAACGCGGGACGAATTCCGCGCACGCTGCAGGGATCCGCCGCGGCGTTCGCGGGAAAAATATCAATCGATATCGTCCGCCGGCGAAAGGAACGCGCATTCGATATTCGCATATCCGATGCGAATTCCCGGCGGGCACCGGGGCGCGGAGGTTTGCCGAAAAATAATTTTCAGCTGCCGAGAGCGCGCGGGATGGAGGCGCGCTGCACACGCGCTCGCGCGGATGATCCGTTGCGTCGGGGTCCCGCGGTGCCTTTTTCTTTTTTCATCGACCACCCCCGCGCGCCGTCGCCCCGCGCCGTTTCCCCCGGGCTACTCTCAACGACCACCCCCGTACCACCACCACCGTTACCGCCACTGCCGTTCGAGCGCACCCACCCCGCGGGATGCGCGGCGCGCCGCGCCGGCCGCTTTTGTTTTCCTCTATTTTCCGGTTTTTCCGGGTGGGCCGCCGGACACACGGCGGTGGCGGCAACTGCGACGGCGACGGCCGGCGGTGTGTGGCGCGCAACAAGTAGCAGATTATAAAAATCACTCGACGGCTCGGGGGCGTGCTGAGGAAAAAAAAGGAGGTACGGCGGGGAGAAAAAAGTGACGAGCGGTGGCACGCCGTGAGAGAAAGCGGGATGGCGCGAGCGAGGGCGAGAGCGGTTGGAAGAGAGATCGCGGGATCGTGAGATTCGTGAGAGCGACGAGAGTTGAGCATCGCGAGTGGGAACGAGAGGAACGAAGGACCGGTGCGGAACGCGGTGGGCATGGGGACGGGGGAGGCATAGAGGGGGGTGGGGTACACACGGCGAGTGA